CTCCCCTCCTCCTCCTCTTCTCCTTCGCTCCTCCTCCGCCCTTACCATCCTCCTCCCCTCCCTGCTCCTCCGCCTCTCCTCCTCCTCCTCCTCTCCTCCCCTCCTCTCTCCTTAGCTCCTCCTCCTCCTCCTCACCCTCTTGCCCAATCCTCCTCCCCATCCCCCTCCTCATCCTCCTCTCCTCCCCCCTCTCCTCCTCCTCCTCCCCTCCTCTCCTCTCCCCCTCCTCCTCTCCTCCTCCCTCCTCTCTCTCCTCCTCCTATCATCTCTCCTACTCTCCTCCTGCCCTACTTCCCATCCTTCTCCTCCCCTCTCACTCCCTCCTCTTATCTCCTCCTCCTACTCCTCCTCCTCCTCTCGTCTCCTCCTCCTCCTATTCCTCCTTAGATCCTCCTCCTCCTTTCCCATCATCCTCCCCTCACTCTCATCATCATCCTCCTCAATCATCCTCCTCCTCCTCTCTCCTCCTCCCTCCTCCTATCTCCTCCTTCGACTCCTCCTCCTCCTCCTCTTCCCCATCTCATCCCCCTCCCCCTCCTCCTCCTCCCCCTCCTCCTCCTCCTCCTCCTCCTTCTCCTCGAAGCCCCGCCACCTCCTGCGGAGCATGGGAACCCCGTGGGGGGGAGGCAGCCCACGCAGGCCTGAGCCGGATCGAATCGCGAAGCCGGATCGGCTCGCCGGCGGACCGCCCCGAATCGGATAGCAACCAGATCGCCGCGCCAAGCTCTGGCTGGCCCCAGCCGATGCCAATACACCGAGCCGAAGCGAGTCGACCCGGCATCGCGGCCCCGACCGAGGCATCGAATCGCGTCGAATCGGACGGTGGTCGGTCCCGGCGCAAGGTCATCGGCGAGCGAGCGCTGCATGCGCTGCTCGTGCGTGGACCCGCGGGGGGGGGAGGCGCGCCCCCCGCCCGCGGCGCAAGGTCTACCGCAGGATCAGACGGCACCTGATCGGGAAATCGGGCACAGCCGGAACCTGCGTCGGACCTGGCTGCCTCGGCACGGAGTCGGAATCGAATCGCATCGGCTGCGCCGCAGTGCACAGCTGCTAGGGGGAAAACAAACCTACCTCGCTTTTGACCACCCTCGCTTCCAAGAGATACCAAGCGATGCCAAACTACGGCCTGTACTGGTCAGGCCGCCTGACGAGGAGGCGCGTGGTATGACTCGGTCTTGCGAAAGCGGGGTAGGTAATTCACGCTCTGAGCTGCGTCTCGCACACATCGGCCCGCACCGGATCGTGGGAGCAGGGAAATCGAACCGGGTCGTGCCGGCCAAAATCGACACCGAGACGGATCGGATCGAGAAGCACCCTACCTTGATAGCCTGGCCTTCCGTGGCCTGGCGTGGGGTCTCTGGGCTACGTTTAGGTCGGGCATGTCCCCCTACAGGCGGATCTTGGGCGAATCATGAAAAGATAGTGAAAACATAATCAAACAATCCTCGAACATAGTTTGAAACAAATGGTCCCCTGACTATTTCCCAACCATCCTGTGGTGCTTGCTGGGTCCTCGTTTTGGAGGAGACGGTCCCCGCGTCTCCTTCCTTCTCCTCCCCCTCCACCCTCCTCCTTCCCCCTTGCGTTTCACCCACCCAGTACAGCGTTTCGTGGCCCCATAGGGAGCTCCACCGAAGGCCCCAGTGCCACCGCCCGCATGCGTCACCCACGCCCATTCCGAGACACCACTCACGCGGTACGTGGCCACATAGGGAGCTCCACCGAAGGCGCCAGTGCCACCGCCCGCATGCGTCACCCACACCCATTTCGGAATACCCCTCACGCGTTACGTGGCCCCATAGGGGGCTCCACCGAAGGCACCAGTGCCACCGCCCGCATGCGTCACCCACACCCATTTCGTCACACACCTCACGCGTTTCGTGGCCCCATAGGGAGCTCCACCGAAGGCCCCTGTGCCACCGACCGCATGCGTCACCCACACCCATTTCGGAACACCCCTCACACGTTTCGTAGCCCCATAAGGAGGGAGCTCCAACGAAGACCCCGGTGCCACCGCCCGCATGCGTCACCCACGCCCATTCCGAGACACCCCTCACGCGTTACGTGGCCCCATAGGGAGCTCCACCGAAGGCGCCAATGCCACCGCCCGCATGCGTCACCCACACCCATTCCGGAACACCCCTCACGCGTTACGTGGCCCCATAGGGAGGGAGCTCCACCGAAGGCACCAGCGCCACCGCCCGCATGCGTCACCCACGCACGTTTCGGCACACGCCTCACGCGTTTCGTGGCCCCTTTGGGAGCTTTACCGAGTGCCACAGTGCCACCGTCCGCATGCGTCACCCACACCCATTTCGGCAGACCTCTCACACGTTTCGTGGCCCCATCTGGAGCTCCAACGAAGACCCCGGTGCCACCGCCCGCATGCGTCACCCACGCCCATTCCAGCACACCTCTCACGCGTTACGTGGCCCCATAGGGAGCTCCACCGAAGGCGCCAGTGCCACCGCCCGCATGCGTCACCCACACCCGTTCTGGAACACCCCTCACACGTTACGTGGCCCCATAGGGAGGGAGCTCCACCGAAGGCACCGGTGCCACCGCCCACATGCGTCACCCACGCACGTTTCGGCACACCCCTCACGCGCTACGTGTCCCCTTTGGGAGCTCCACCGAAGGCCCCGCCAGCATGCCCCCACCGCACCCATTTCGGCACGGCCCCAGTGGCTGCGTTCGCATGCGCCCACCGCACCTATTTCGGCACACCTCTCACGCGTTTCGTGGCCCCATGGGGAATTCCACCGACGGCACATGTGGCTGCTTTCGCATGGGCCCAGCGGACAAATTTTGGCACACTCCTCACACGTTTCGTGGCTCTACAAGGAGCTCCTCCGAATGCGATGCATACAACGACGGTGCTCACAACTGCATGTGGTTGGGTCTTTCGCCAGGCTAATTTCTCAACCGCATGTTTGCTTATTCCTCCTGTACAGAGAACACGCACTACTTAAGGCTACGTTGGGTGGGGGGCTTATTCTTGCCCAGCAGCGGGAGGAAAGGTCGCTTCCCCGTTCGCGCCAGATGCGGCAAGATCAATCAGCCTCGAATCGAGAAATCGGATTGAATCGGCAGGTGCATGGGATTGGGCTGTACAAGCACGGAGTCGGAACCGAACTGGATCGGCTGGCGCCAAGCTGTACGACAGCGCCATGCAAACATCGGGCCGCATCGGATCGTCGGGACAGCGGCATCGAATCGGATCGAGCCGGCCGAAAAACAGATATCGAATGGGATCGGATCCAAGTGAACCCTGTGGCGAGCGGGGGGGGAAACGCTTCGAAAGAGTCTCACCATCTCACGGAGGGGGAGGAGGAGGAGGAGGAGGAGGAGGAGGAGGAGGAGGAGGAGGAGGAGGAGGCAGGAGGAGGAGGAGGAGTCCTTCTCCTCCTCTTCCTTTCCTCACTCTGTCTCCTGCCTCCCTCCCTCCCCCTGTCCCTCCCCCCCCTCCCACCCCCCTTACCTCTCAGGGGAGCGAGGGCGGCAGCGGGGGCGGGGGCCGGGGACGTGGGCACACAGGGCGGCGCGGCACGGCCGGGGAGCGGTGCTCACGGCGACGGCCCGCGAGGCTCTGCAGTCGGGAGCTGCCAAGAGGGGGGTGTCCAAGAGGGGGGGGGTGCAAATCATGGCTGGCGACACGTGCGCGGACCGGCGGGGGGGCCAGGCACGTAATGAAATAAGAAGGGGCGCCATGAAATCTACGGAAATATCATGACCCCCGCCATGAATCCCCCCCCCCAGTCATCACCCCCCTCTCTTCCGCCCCCGATGCAAGCGAGGGGGCCTGCACCTCCCCGTGGACATGCGTGCTTGCCTCCCCCCCGAGGGAAACTCCCAGGAAACGTCCGCTCGGAGGACAAGGCCCCCCTACCACGGCCTTTCCCTCGCTTTCCGCTCTGTGGGGACTCCTGGGATCGGGTCGGGCGAAAGGGGGGATAGCCAAGGGGGGGGGTGAGAATCGGCTCACGTAGCTGACTTTCCCGGCGCCTCCCGGCGCCGGGAGAGGCGCCCATGCATCGAGGAATGGGCCCCTCGCTGGGGCCGAAACCAGCTGCATGCAGCAGATTTCGTAGCCCCCCCGTTTCCCAATCCCCCCCTCTCGCCCGGCCCGATGGGAGGCCCTCGGCGCCCCCGCTGGATTCGCCTCGGAGTCCTGGTCGGAGCGTGCCCCCTGGGAGAGGTCCGGGGAGGAGCGGCATCGGTGCTTCCCCACCCACGCCCACAACTCCTGGAGTCCTGCCCCGGGTCCCTGCAGAGCGGGGGGCCCGGATGGTTGGCCCCCCGCGGGGAGGCGGGGAGGTGTCCAAGCCTAGAGGCCTCCTAGATGGGGTCGGAGCAGATGGGGTCGGAGGACCGCGCCGCATCGCCGATACATCGGCGATACATCGGCGATGCATGGGAGATGCATCGGCGATGCACCGGCGATGCACCGTCGGCGTCGGCGATGAATCGGCGACGTCGACGTGAAGCGAATCGGGCCCCACATCGAGCCGACGCGGCGATACATCTGCGATGCAGCGCGATCCTCCGACCCCAGCTACTCCGGCCCCATCGGGAGCGGCCAAGAGGGTGGTGTCCAAGAGGGGGGGTGCAAATCATGACCGGCGGCATGTGCGCGGCCCGGCGGGGGGGCCAGGGACGTAATGAAATAGGAAGGGGCGCCATGAAATCTGGGGAAATATCATGGCCCCCGCCATGATATCCACCCCCCCCCAGTCATCACCCCCCTCTTTTCCACCCCCGATGCCCCACCTAGGAGGCCTAGAACGTCCGCCTCTCCTCGGGGTCCGGGGGCACGGCTCCGAGCCGGCGGCGCCGAGCACGCGCGTGCTGGCTGCAGAAGGAGCGGTGGGGTGCCGGTTGAGCTCCGCAGGCCTTTGCCCCCTCGCGCAAAGGCTCCAGCAGGTTCCGCACGGCTCTGCACAAGGCCTGCACCTTCGACTCCTCGACGGGCCAGTTGGCCCCTACCCGACCAGCGCACCAGAAAGTCTGGTCGATCTCCTTGCAAGCGGACAGCTTTGTGTTCCCGCAGTTGATCTGGATAGGCTTGCAGTCGCAGACGTCGGTAGCCAACTTCTCGACAGCCTCCTCCCATGTGGCCGAAAATAGCAGCACTTGTCTGTCCGGCCGGATCTGGGACATTATGAGTCTCACCTGGTCCTCGAAACCGTGGCTCAATAACTCATCGGCCTCATCCAACACCACGTAGGTGGCACGCCGGAGATTGGTCCAGCGCTTGTTCAGCATTCGTATTAACCTCCCTGGCGTTGCCACCACCACGTCCACCCGCTGCAAGGCATCCGCCTTCTGCTTCTCCTGAGGAGGAGGAGGAGGAGGAGAAGAATGAGGAGGATCCGCGCGTCGCAGGAGGGCCGAGTCGAACCACGACCCCCCAGAGCGCCCGCGCGCGCGCACGCGCCGCGGGCCGAGAGAAGGAGGAGGAGTAGGCATGCGAACAGATCCGGCTCCAACGGTGCTGGTGCGGCGCGACAGGGACGTATCGTAATCCGACACGACATGGCCCTCCATCCCACTCGATCCGCCCTCACCCTGAATGGCACACATAGGGTGGGACTGGATCAGGGGGAAATGGACATCGTGCTGGAATCCGGGACACATCCTCGATAGATCGGCACTGGGCCCCCGATCTCGACACCGCGCGATGCTGGGCGGGATGTGCTGTCATGCCCCATCGCCGATGCGCCCCCCTGGAGCCCATCCACCCTGACGCTGCGCCGTGGCCTTCGAGTCGTGACTCGGCTCGCTGGCGGCCGTCCGGGACGACCCAGCATCCCCCGAACGCCCTCGGCGAGACACCGACGCTGGAGAGCATCCCGAGGCCGGAACACCGCTGAGAGCCGACCAACACGTCAGAACGCCAACTCCCCCTGCACTCGTTCCCCCTTGCGGTGCCCCTGACATTTCCTGGCATCCAGCGCCGAACCACAGAAACCACGCTGTGGAAACGAACAGCCGGACCTCCCGACCCTGGAGGAACATCCTTGGACGCCTCGCGAGGCAACTTGAGACCCGATCTGCATCGGATCCACGTCGGATTTACGTGGGTTTCACGTCGAACTACTTCGAAATTACGTGGGACTGACGCCAGAGCATCGCCGCGCGAGCGTCGATCCGTAGCTTACGGAGCTGACGTGTGGACTAGATGATACAACTATCAAGCGCCGCGCGAGGCCTCCAGGATTTTCCTCATAGCATGAGAGCCCAACATCGAATCGATAAAACGATCGGCGATCGAAATGAGTCGGATCGGCAGAAATCGGCAGCCGAGTCGGGAGAAGTCAACTCGGCAGACATCGGCAGGCCAGTAGGCCCAGCAAGCCTCTGATGAGGAATCGGCATCCACATCGGAATCCGAAGTCGACTCGAACCGGAACCGGAAATCATCGAAATCGGATCGAACCGACTCGGAGGAGCCGAGATGAGCCCTGCATAACTCGGAAACAGGAACACATACATTACCAGTGGCGGGTTGCTTTTTCAATCCCAAGACTTTGTGAGGGTCGGGGACGACGTCGGGGTGGTGTGGTGTATACTTTTCCCCCGCTTTCCCAATGGAAACAACGAAACAAATGTATACACCAGGGTCCCGTATGCACCAGGATCCGCGTTCCTGTGCGAATTTCAGCGCAGGGTCGGGCAAAGCGTCGGTGTGTAGAGCTCGTTTCTCCCCGACAACGCCCTCACCCTGGCGCCCCCTGCGAGGGGGGTCAGGAGAAACAAATCAGAAACAAAAGATACAAGCATCAGAAACTCATAACTTAGAAACTAATGCAAACATCAGAAATTCAAAATTTCGAAACTATCGTAAATAAAGCATGCAAACATCAGAAATTCAAAACGTAGGAAATCATCGATCCCAGGCGCCATGCAGCATAGCGCCCTCGCCCTGGCGCAAGACCTCTCGAGCCGAAGGGAGCCGCCGGTACCCCAGCGCCCGAAGGCGCGGCCCGCGCCCAGCGAGGGGCTCTTTCCGCCGCGGCTCACGGCGCGGGGAGGCGCCCCACGGCAGCGACCCCGCGGACGTGCCGCAGCGGATGTCTGCGTGGACTTCAAGGCTGCCGACCTGCCAAACCACCCCAACCCAACCCGAAGACCCCGATTTCGGGTCGGGGGGGGTAATTATGGGCTTCATATGTGCCTTTTCCCATGTTCCCGGGGTATGGGCTTCATATGCGTTTTTCCAGGATGTTCCCCGACCACCCCCCCCGCTGGAGATGGACCGCCAATCGGGGCCTTCGGGTTGGGTTGGGGTGGCTTGGTGGGCGGTGGAACGCAGAATCCCGCAACGGGGAGCGAACAACGAAGCGAATGTCACGTGGATGTTCTGTAGTCTTCGTTCCTGATTGGAAAAATTCGCGCGAAATTCACTTCGAAATCCGGGACGAAATTCTCCAGGACAGTCCAGGCCCATCCGTTTGTTGTTCGAACGAAATCCGCCACGGCTGCCGCGCAGCCGTCCGATCTCCTCCGATTGGGTTCGGATTGGCCTGACGGGAGCCATCAATGAACATGACGATATCCCATCCGAAATTTGACGCGAACTCCCGCTGCAAACATCCCACCCAAACCGGACCGTCAACATCCAGGACGTGCTCGTCAAAAAAAAGCGTCGGCAACCCCGATTTCCAGCCTACTCGAGTCTTATACGTCTCCGACTAGTGACTCCTGCGTGCCCTCCGAGCGGACCCCTGGGGAGAACCCGACTGGAAGCCTCCCAATGAGAGTCCGAGCAGACGGGATCGGAGGATCGCACCGCATTTCCGACTCACTCATCGCCGACGCATCGCTGATGCGTCGGCGATGCATCGGGGCCATCGGCGTGGCGAAAGCTGGACACCACATCGAACCGCCCCGCCGATGCATCGGCGATGCGGCGCGATCCTCCAGCCCCATATGCCGGGACCACATCTTGGAGGACTGGACCGAGGGTACCACGACAAGCGGGTTGGTCGCCGAAAAGGGCCGCACGACGGCGGATCACCTGCCCCCTCCTGCTCCAGAGATAGTCAGGCCTCGGTGAGCGGATCGCGCCACGCGCCAGGGGTGGCGCCAAAGGCGACCAGCGCAGATCCAAGAAATCCGCGCGGAACTCCGACAGTTTTTGTGTACACGATTCGTTCTTCGAGTGGTATAATCGGCCCCCCTAGCCCCACAAAACATGACTGCCCATGGTGGACATGCATGCGTTGGCAGCTCTCTGTCGCTCTGTCATGATGAGCCTCGTCTGCATCACAAAGCGAGGGGGGGGCTGGGAAGGGGCATGCCATTCCTTGACAAGAATCTTACCGTACCCCGATTTACGGCCGCCGCCGTTGCCGCGGTGACCTTCGAACAGCGGCCCGGAGATTTGGTCCATGGTCGGACATCACGCAACGAGGAGAGCCGTGTGCAGGAGCAGGAGGTGCCGCCAGTTTCGATTCCGCCCGAGGGGCACGCCAACTGTAGACTTAGGTCGGGCGTGTCCCCTACAGGCGGAGCTTGAAGGAAAGACAGAAATGCGCAGCAACAAATGCAAAAAGAACAGCAACAATGCTACACAAAATCGTCGCCCCCAGACCATTTTTGGACCATTTTTGATCTTTCCGTCCTGTCGAGGGACCTTGGGCGCCCGAATTATCCGGGGTAACTCGGGTCCGGGGTAACTCGGGTTCGAATTCCCGAAATAGGAACCCGAGTTAGCCCTGACCTGAGTTACCCCTGATGATGTGGGGCTCTGTGGACGCCCGAATTATCCGGGGTAACCCGGGTCCGGGGTAACTCGGGTTCGGATTCCCGAAAAACGAACCCGAGTTAACCCTGACCCGAGTTACCCCTGCCTGATGATTCGGGGCTCTGAGGACCTGCAGCGATCCTGGCCAGGCCCGGCCCGGGCCCGAGATCGGCCGGGCCGGGACCGGCGCGGACGTGCACTGCAGCCCTCTCGTTGTCCGGTCGCTCCCGCCCGTGCCAGCGCCACTCTCGGCTCCCGGCGTCCGGATCTCCCCTCCGTCCTCTCCCGCCTCCCCATCCTGCTTCTCAACTTCCTCCTCCTCCTCCTCCTCGTCTTCCTCCTCGTCCTTCTCCTTCTCCTCCTCCGCCTCCTCCTCTTCCTGATTATGATCCCCTCCTCCCGCCTCCCCCCCCTCGGTCGCTCGCTCGCTCGCCACTGGAAGGCCAGAGGCCCCTGCAAGTGGGAAGAGAGGAGGGCGAAGACAGCATCCCCCATCATGCACGTGCAGAGGAGAGAGGAGGAAGGGGTGAAACGAGGGTTAAGTGGCTCTTCTCCTCCTCCTCCTCCTCCTCCTCCTCCTCCTCCTCCTCCTCTGGCCACCGAGCCTGTGTGTCATGAACCCAAGCCCTGCCACTGCCTCGACGACGACGGGGGCGGCGGCGACACCCCTGGCAGCAGTGGATTGAGCGGGCGGCGCCTGAAGCAAGTCTTCTTCCTAGAAATCCCAGGGCCGGCTCTCCTCCCCTTCGCCGAAGGGGGCGCCCGAATCTGAGCCCAGCCCTTCGGGGCTCGCACTCTGGCCGCGTAAGAATATTGGAGGGGCCCAGCTCAGCGCGGGACGTTCGACGTCTTCTCTGGACGGGCGGGTTCCGATCAGCCGCCAGGCACGGGCGCCTTCCGGGGCTGCTGGCTGGGAAGCTCGAAGACTGCACCGCCGTCCTCGCCGGGGCGGTCGGCGCCGGAGCCGGAAGCCTGCAGTGTGCTGCCGTAGTCGGCCGCGCCCGCCTCGTCGCCCTGCTTCGCAGGCCACACGCCCCTCTTCGTGAAGCCGTGCAGGGCGAGCATGCACACGGAGGTGCCCAGGCAGAGGACGACGTAGGCGGTCATCAGCTCGAGCTGGCTCTCGTGATCGTGGGCGAAGATCGGCGACTCCGAAGAGCGTGGTCTGCAAGGGTTGTGGTTTGCAACCGGCGCCCTGGGAGTCACCCAGGAGAGCGGCCGGAGACCTCGATAGAGTTCTCCGCCGCGCCTCAAGGAGGCCCGACGATGGTAACGTCGTGCCCCCGAGGCCCCCACGGCGCTGGTCCCAAACCACACCCTGGCGTGACCACACCCTTTGCAGTTGCCGAGAGGAGGCCACCGAGCAGGAACCCGAGCGAGCCTCCGGCCTCCCACATCGTGTTCCAGATGCCGTTGACCGCGTCCTTGGCCTTGCCCTCCTCGTGCTCGATGGCGTCGGCGAGCAGGAGGGCCGACGGGGTGTGGGTAAGTCCGAGACAGACGCCGTAGAAGGTCAGAGCGATGTTCGATGATCCTCAGAACGTGTGTTAGCGCCAGCGTGAGTTGGTCCATCAAGACCCTTCAATACGACGCAGGCGATGTATGATCTCGCGGTGGAGCTGAACAGGGTAATCACACATTGGGCTAACCCACGTCCTGAGAATCATCGAGATGTACAGAATCATGAGCTTCTGGTCCTCTGGGAACTCGTACGCGGCGACGACCAGCACGCAATAGGCCGAGATGCCCAGCGCGGTGAGCCAGAATGCGCTGAAGACGATCCGGCAGTCGTGCATGGCTACCCATGCTCGCCCGACCAGGGCTGCGGATACAATGTAGGCAAGCGCGATGATTAGAAAGAGCTGGCCAATCATCATTGGATCAAAGTTCCAGCGATGGTCTGCGTGGAACGGCAGGATCTCCTCGACTGACCCCTTCACGACGGCCGACGTCGTGATCAGGATGACCGCCAGTCCCATTCGCCTGCTGGTGAGCAAGAGCGTCAACCTTCTCCAACTGGTCTGCGACTGGAAGGGCGTCCGTGGAGTGGTAATGTACGAATGTTCGTCGGGAGAGCGCTCAGCCGCAGTCAGGCTGAGCGTGACGACGAGTAGGAGAATCTGGTTTAGCAACGAGGCCACGGCGAGAAACGAAAATACAGAACGCTGGCCGAAGTGATGGAAGACCCACGCGCCCATTGACGAACCCAGAACCTCCGCGATGTTCAGAGCGATGGACGCCATGGTCATGGAGAAGATCTGCTGGGTGCCCTCGAAAACCTCGACGTTCAACAGGAAGGAGTAGAAGAAAATGAACGAGCCGGCAAACCCCTGAACGAAGCGGCAAGACGTGTGCATCATCAGGCGCGGGCTCATGGCCTGGAAAGCGAGCGTCACGGTGCCGAAGCCGAGCCCAATCATCAGGTACACGAGCCACCGCCGAGCGCTCACGAGGCTGGTCATGGTCTCGTGGCCTTCACCTTTCAGCAGCAAGAATATTTGGTACGCGGTAATCAGGGTGCAGCCCAGGAACCCCGTCCAGTAGTACACGCCGATGGCCGTTGCGATCTCGAACGTGCCGTGGCCCCTGTCCTCCAGCACGGATGGGAGGAACGCCAGGGGCATGCTGTACTGGAGAATGTCCACGGTGATGCACAGCGAGATTGACGTCGCGATGAATATGCACTGCGGCCAAGTATGTTTGCGATTGACTGGCAGAGCCTCTGCATTCTCGGCCTCGCAGATGCACCCGCAGCAAGCTGGATCCATTGTAATTGTGGATTACGTTGGGTCTACATTGCCATTGTTTCAGTCTGGAGCCAGCACGGCTACGTGGGAGGAGGATGAGGACGTTTGGGGAGGACGGGGAGGTAGATGAGGGGAGGAAGAGGAGGAGAGGGTGAGGTTGAAAAGGAGGGGGGGGGACGGGCGAGGCGAAAGGGGAGGATATGAGAGACTGGGTAGGAGGGGGATGCGAGGGGAGTAGGGCGAGAAGGGAAGGAGGCCACGGCAGGAGGGGGAGGAGAAGGGAATAGGAAGTATGTACTGCGTCCGACACCGTACTTTGGTACTGAGTAGAGTGCCTTCGGATCCATGAGTCCAAATATATATATATATATATATATATATATATATATATATCCGACGGGTACGTTCGTCGGCAGTTCGCGAGGCTTGCAGGCAAACATGGAAACAACCGAAGCAGGCGTCGATGTTTCAGACTCAATGGCAGTGGTAGGCCAAGGAGTAAATTGTCATCCTCTACTCTCCCCTCCTCCATTCCAAGCTGCTTCTCGCATTCTCTACCCAAGAAACCCGTTTGCACACCAACAGACTCGTGCTCTGTTCCACCCTACCCAAGGAATCCCAAATCATCCATTTTCATACTGCACCTAGAAATCCAATGGCAGGCGCAAAGCATGCATTGGCATACCCTCGATCGTGGAGAGGCAAAGTGGGAGGAGGGTGCCCACACCAATTCCTAGACGTCTGGTAAGAAGTCTAAAGCAAGCCTACCTGGATACCATGCGGTAGTTTAGCCACGACGTCCCAAGATGCCCCGAAACAGCCCAACACGGCCCGAAAGGTCCCAAGAGGGATCCAAGACGGCCCAAAGACGGCCCCAGAGGGCCCAATCCATACGGCTGAACACTGCTCCAAAGTGGACACCGGACGGCCCAAAGCGACGCCCCAGACGGCCTCCGCAGGCGTTAAACGGCCCAAGAGCGTCACAAGGTATTCACAAAGAACCCCAAGAAGGCCCAAAAGCGCCCCGAAATGATCCCTCAAAGGCCGCAAATCCGTTGTGAGGTTTGCTCGATGTTCTACAGTGGCCGCCAGAAGGCCCCCAGGACGCCCCAAGAGAGACCCCCGAGAGACATCCCAAGAGACTCCGAGAGGCACCCAAGAAGACTCTGGCCCATGGGGGCGCCTGGAGCTCTCCAAAGGATACCACGGTCCCCCCAGAAGGGGAGCTCCCTGGAGCCTCGTTCCTGGATGGGCTGTTGGGGGCACGCGAAGCTTTAAGAATTCAGACTCCTTCCTGTTACGCTGTTGAACAGGCGCGGACGCGAGGCTTGAAGCAGGCATCTGTGTACAAGAAGACTGCCGACCCCCGTTTGCCCGGGGTGAGGGGGCGTGTGAGATGAGTGCTTGTCCCCCTCTCCCTGTCCCCCTCCCCCAGGTTCCAAAATCTGGTTCACGGAGGGGATCTGGGACATTTGGCGTACCCCCAGAGACCCCGGAGCTTCCAAGTCTGCCTTCCGTGGCCTCGAAACCGTTCCAAGACGATCCCGAATCGCCGAACGATTGGCCCACGACGCCTACTTCGAGACGTCCCAAGAGAGGTCCAAAGAGCCTTCCCAAGATGGCCCCGAGAGGCAACCAACCATGTTTCTCCTAAGGTTTGTCATTGTGCTTGGGGTTATCGTCTTCTCGAACTTCCGACGCTCCAAGACGGAACAAGAGGCCCCGCAGACCGTGCCCAAGACGCTCTGACAAGGGGCCGAGGACGGCCCAAGAGGGTTCCAAGACGGCCCACAGTAGGGCCCAAGATGGCCAAATATCGCTCCAAGAATGCCCCACAAAAAAGCCAAGAGGAAGAGCACGAACCGATAACCCGAACCGCCAAAAGCGATTACCGAACCCTCGGTGCTACTCATAGCACCGAGACCCCAACTTAATTCTGGACAGGGACATACCACCGAAATGACACACTCACCACAATCCCCGGCCGGGTTGTCGGGTTCGGGTGGGCGCCGCCCTCGAGGCCCTGCAGAGAGACCCAAGAAGGGCCAAGGGGCCCCCAAGAGGCCCCCAATTCCAGAAGCACTCCCAAGAGGGCCCCAAGAGCTGACATTCATTGATTTCCTTTAGGTTTTGGAGAGATTTGGGCGCTCCCCCCTTTCCGGCTTCCCGACGCCTCAAGACGGCCCAAGAGGTCCCCAAGATCACCCCAAGAGGGTCAGGGTCCAAGAGGGCCCCAAGAGAGCCCCGAGACGGCCCAAGAGGGCTCCAGGACCGCCCAAGACGACTCCAAAACGGCCCAAGAAGGCACCAAGAGAGGCCCCAGAGAGGGAACACGAAACAACATTTCGAGCCCTCTGCCAGAAGCAGCCCCCAGGAGGTCCCCAGAGGTCCTTAAGGGGCCTCAAGAGGCCCCCAACAGGCGGTCAGGCGGCCGCCAAGAGCCCCAAAAAGGCTCAAGGTTAAGACGTTCCCGAAAGCCTCGGAGAACTCCCAAGAGCTTCCTGTGCACTGCCTCCCGGTGCGCGAAAATAGGCGGGCGGAATGAGCGGAGCGATTAAATAACACCCCGTGATATGTTAGAGCACCACATAAATGAATGTATTCCTGGGGGGGGGAGGGGGCGGGATCGCGGCCCTGGGAGTGCCCAAACACGGTCATTCCCGTGGATCGTGGCCCTGGAAGCGCGGGCGCCATGCAAGTAGCAAGCTTCGTGTCCTGGGATCGCGGACGCAACGCAATGTACGACGGATCCTTCAGCAACCTGCAGCATCTGGAGGAATCCCTCCAAAATCCGGAGGGGCACACAGGACGCCATTATAGGATATCTGGAAGAACCCTCAGGAATCCTGACAAAACCTTCACAGAATCGGCAGCAAACCTGCAGGAATCCTCAGGAGTCCTTCGGCACCCCCACAAGAATCTTCAGAAATCTATGAGAATCTGGAGGACCCCCTTGGAATCCTATGAAAACCTACCATCTCCCAGGGCCGTGGACGCAATGCAATGTACAATGGACCCTGGCCCTGGGCATGAGAGCGCGGTCGCAGCGGGAGCGCGGAAACACAATTAGTTCCCATGCATCAGGGCTCAACCTGAACAGTGTTTCCTGTTCACGGTTCGTTTTCGTTTGAAAACGAAATTTGAGCGAAAACGCCGGCCGGCGTCGCGCGGGCCGTTCTGGAACAAAACAGCGGGTGAACAAAACAGCGACCCCCGAGCAGCCGAAAACGAAACGCATAACAGAACGGTGGCACGGCCGCGGGCCACCAACAAAACGGAAAAAACTAAACGAGCGAGCGCCAAGGAACAACGACGACGACGACGAGTCAAGTGAAGGTTTAAGCAGCGAGAGCGCGAGTAACAATTTAGGCGGAGATCTAGATAAAGATTTAATCCGCGAGGGAGCGAGTGACGATTTAGGTGGAGATCCCAGCACAACCTCCCAGCACACCCTCGCACGACCCCCAGCACAACCCCCCTCCGCACAACCCCCCTCCGCAAAATCCCCCAGCACACACACCCAGCACTACCCCCAACACAAACCTCCAGCGCAATCAGCTAGCACAAGCCCCAAGCACAACCCCCCCCCAGACACTCCTCAGCACAACCCCCCCAGCACAACCCCCCAGCACAACCCCCCCACCCCCCTCCCAGCACAACCCCCCAGCACAACCCCCTGGCACAACCCCCTGGCACAACCCCCTGCTACAATCCCCTGGCACAACCCCCCCCAGCACAACCCCCCAGCACAACCTCCCAGCACAACCCCCCAGCACAATCCCCCAGCACAACCCCCAAGCACAACCCTCCAGCACAACTCCCAACACAATCCTCTGGCACAACCCCCCAGCACAACCCACCGCACAACCCCCCAGCACAACCCCCCCAGCACAACCCCCCGCACACACCCCCATCACATCCCACCAGCACAACCCCCCGGCACAACCTGCCAGCACAACCCCTAGAGAGGGCCACTTTAGAGTCTGGAGGTTGTGCTGGAGGTTGTTCTGGAGGTTGTGCTGGAAGTTGTGCTGGAGGTTGTGCTGGAGGTTGTGCTGGAGGCTGTGCTGGAGGTTGTGCCGGAGGTTGTGCTGGAAGTCGTGCTGGAGGTTGTGCTGGAGGTTGTGATGGAAGTTTTGCTGGTGGTTGTGCTGGAGGTTGTGCTGGAGGTTGTGCTGGAGGTTGTGCTGGAGATTGTGCTGGAGGTTTTGCTGGAGGTTGTGAATGGGCTGGAGGTTGTGCGGGAGGTTGTGCTGGAGGTTGTGCTGGCGGTTGTGCTGGAGGTTGTGCTGGAGGTTGTGCGGGAGGTTGTGCGGGAGGTTGTGCTAGAGGTTGTGCTGGAGGTTTTGCTGGAGGTTGTGCTTCAGGTTGTCCTGGAGGTTGTGCTGGAGGATGTGCTTGAGGTTGTGCTGTAGGTTGTGCTGGAGCTTGTGATGGAGGTTCTGCTGGAGTGTGTGATGGAGGTTGTGTTGGAGTTTGTGCTGGAGGTTGTGCTGGAGGCTGTGCTGGAGGTTGTGCTGGAGGTTGAGCTGGAGGTTGAGCTGGAGGTTGTGCTGGAGGTTGTGCTGGAGATTGTGCTGACGGTTGTGCTTGAGGTTGTGCTGGAGGTTGTGCTGGCAGGTTGTGCTGGAGGTTGTGCTGACGGTTGTGCTGGAGGTTGTGCTAGAGGTTGTGGTGGAGGTTGTGCTACAGGTTGTGATGGAGGTTGTGCTGGAGCTTGTGATAGAGGTTGTGCTGGAGGTTGTGCTGCAAGTCGTGATGGAGGTTGTGCTGGAGGTTGAGCTGGAGGTTGTGCTGGAGGTCGTGCTGGAGGTTGTGCTGGAGTTTATGCGGGAGGTTGTGCTGGAGGTTGTGCTGGAGGTTGTGCTGGAGATTGTGCTGGAGGTTGTGCTGGCGGTTGTGCTTGAGTTTGTGCTGGAGGTTGTGCTGGAGGTTGTGATTGTGCAGGAGGTTGTGCTGGAGGTTGTGCTGGAGGTTGTGCTGGCGGTTGAGCTGTAGGTTGTGCTGGAGGTTGTGCTGGA